CCTTTTTTAGAATTTCAATACTGGCCTCTTAGAATCTTAATGACATTCAAACAATTAAAAAAATGTTTAAAAACAAAAACTATGTTGGTTTAAAGTTGACACGTCGTTAACAGAAATGGAGCTCACGCGTGAACATTTCCGTGCCATAATTTATCACAATTTTCGTCGCGGCTTATCTCAAGATAAATGTCTCAGCGAATTTGTTTCGATTTATGATGTTGAAGCTTCGAGTCAAACAACAATATACCGCTGGTATGCGGAGTCCCGACGCGATCGTGTGTCGCTTAGCACTGTTTCTTCTGCAGGTCGACCAAGAACAGCGGTCACGCCTGAAAACATCGCAGCTGTGCGAACTATTACGAGGGTGGATCGAAAAGTACTCGGCCTAACCAAGAAAATAAACAAATACTAAATCAGTTATATTTTTATTTTTCTACATAATCACCATCAAGTTCAATACACTTTTGCCACCTCCCCTTCCAAGCATTTAGACCGTTGAAAAAAAATGATTCTTCCTTAGAGTCAAAATATGCGTCTACAACTGCTTTCACCTCGTCGTTTGTCGACAATCTTTGACCTCCCAAGTGCTTTTTTAGGTTAGGGAACAGAAAGAAGTCTGATGGTGCCAGATCAGGTGAATACGGCGGATGCGGTAACAGTTCAAAGCCACAGTTGTGAATTTCAGCCATTGACTGTACTGACGTGTGAACACGGGCGTTATCTTGATGAAACAGGACTTTTCTTCTGAGCATTCCTCGACGTTTTTCTTTTATTTCCTCTCGTAAACGACGTAGTAAGGTGCAGTAGTAATCAGAGTTTATATTCTGACCCCTTTCAAAATAATCAATCATAATCACACCTTTCGAGTCCCAGAATACTGAAGCCATCACCTTATTTGCCGACAAAATCGACTTAGCCTTTTTAGGGGGTGGTGAACCAGGTCTTCTCCACTGTTTTGATTGTTGTTTTGTTTCCGGTGTACAGTAACGAACCCATGTTTCGTCCATAGTAACAAAACGATTCAAAAAATCATCTGCATCGGCTTCAAATAACTCCAAACAGTCGCGTGAAATAGTCAATCGCGTCCTTTTTTGTTCAACTGAAAGCAGTCGCGAAACCCACCTCGCAGACACCTTGTGGAAACCCAACTCGTTGACAATGATGTTTTGAGTTCGTTCATAAGAGATGCCTATAATCTCGGCTATCTCTTTAATTTTTAATCTTCGGTCTCCCATTATTAAATCAAGTACTTTTTTAATATTTTCGTCAGTAGTTGACGTCGAAGGCCTTCCAGAGCGGGGTTCATCTTTCACACTCTCTCTACCACGCTTAAATTCTGCTATCCATTTTTTGACGGATGAATATGACAGAGCACAACCGCCTAATGTACTGACCATGTCATCATGGATGGCTTTTGATGATAGCCCCTTCTTATGGAGGTACTTAATGACGGCACGCTGCTCGATTTGCTCCATTCGCGGAAATTATGTCCGATTACTTTGTTAATAAATTTATAAAATCACAACTAATTATCGCACACGTTTCGAACTTCACAATGAACTAGTCTGAACTGAACTAAATAATGTGGCTAGATTTGATTTTTAGAATTGAATGGATCTGTGTTAGGCCGAGTACTTTTCAATCCACCCTCGTATATTAGATGACCGTCATGTGACATACGAGCAGATCCGGGCTGTTATCAGTATCGGAATGACTGCAATTCAGTCGATATTACATAATGAGCTGTTTGTAAGAAAGCTAGTTTCCCGCTGGGTTCCCCACAATTTGTCCGAAGAGCAAAAGGTGGCTCGTGTAGATTGGTGCCGGAATACTCTGCAACGCTTCAACGGAGGGAAGTCAAATGCCGTTTATAATATCGTCTCAGGTGACGAATCATGGATTTATTCATACGAAACTGAAAGAAAACATCAGTCAGCAGTTTGGGTCTTCGAAGACGAGGTCAAACCAACGAAAGTGGTTCGCTCCTGCAGCGCGTCAAAGAAAATGGTCGCTACGTTTGTCTCGAAAAAGGGACATGTTGCTCTCCCATACGGCTCGGAAGACAAATGATTTTTTGAAGCAGGAAAACGTTGAGCTGATGAGCCATCCTCCGTACAGTCCTGACCTGAGCCCAAACGAATTCTTTACATTCCCTAGAATAAAAGATATATTACGCGGTCAACGGTTTGAAGACCCCGAAGCAGTTGTGAAAGCGTACAAATCAGCCATTTTGTCAATATCAACTTCAGACTGGAATTACTGTTTGAATGTTTGGTTTGCACGAATGGAAAAATGTATTAAGTTTAACGGACAATACTTCGAAAAACAATAAAATTCAATTTAGCTATAGCGTGCATGTGGTTTTTGTTATTGCCGATCATTTCAGTGTGCCCCTCGTAACTGGGCCGGCGGTGCGCGTGCTTTGTCGCAGCGCACCGCCTGGCAGTGTCGTCATGTTATGTTGGAAGGTGTTAAATGAAGGGACATGTTGCTCAATTTAAAACTTTAATGGTACGAGGGCGGCACTGAAAATTTCGGGAATCAAGGAAGTGACACAACGTCACTATTTAAAAATATATTTATTGCTTTTCGAAGTATTCTCCGCGAAATTTGACACATTTTTCCATACGATGGAACCAATCATTGAAGCAACCATTCCATTTGGAAGTTGGGGTCTCCAAAATGGCCGTTTTGTAGGCGTCTACAGCTTCTTCAGGTGATGAAAATCTATGTCCACGCAATTTATTCTTTATTTTAGGGAAAGTATCGAAATCATTAGGGCTTAGGTCGGGGCTGTACGGTGGATGTTCTAATAATTCTATGTTTTCTTGCTCTAAAATCTCTTTTGTTCTGTGTGCGGTGTGAGAACTCGTATTGTCGTGATGGAGGATGATGCGGCGGTTGCAGTTCTCTTTACGGAGTTCAGAAACGACCTGTAGCAAACAAATGCTAGCATACCATTCTGCATTAACCGTTCTTTGTCCCTCAAGAGGAATAGTCGTAACATGGCCGGTTTTGGAGACAAACGTCGCCACCATTTTTTTGCAACACTCAGTGAACGAACAATTTTTGTTGGCTTTAACTCATTTTCGAACACCCAAACTCGTGACTGGTTTTTTGTTTCGGGTTCGTACGCGTATATCCAGGATTCGTCACCTGATACGATGTTGTATACAGCATTTGAGGATCCTGCGTGGAATCTTTCGAGAGTTCTGACGCACCAAGTAACTCTTTTTGCTTTTCACAGAGCGAATGCGGTATCCATAACTCATGCCAATGTCTAAAGTTGCCTCGGTATGTCACATGTCGATCTTGCTCAATCAACTTACGCACAGCATCAACGTTTTCTTGGGTGACTGCAGTTTTTGGACGACCTTGACGGGCATCATCACTGAGCTTGACACGTCCATGTTGAAATTCAGCAAACCAGCGATAAATTGTGGTTTTGGATGGGGCTTCATCACCAAATGCAGAAATCATCCGGTCAACACACTGTTTTTGTGTTAAACCACTTCGAAAGTCATAATAAATCATCGCTCTTGAATTTTCTCGAGTCATTTCCATTTTCTCAACGACTAAACAAGTTTGACCAAACCTTACGACAAGACCGAGAATTTTTTTTAAAGTAAATAAATGGTGTTAGATTTTTAAAACCAAGGACTTTTCCATTAAAAAAAATTTAATTCGACAGGAACAGTGGAAATATTCCATTCCCGATACTTTTAGTGCAGCCCTCGTACTGCTTTTTATTGTAAACTTAACTCTAATTACTCGTATTGTCGTGGGGGCTACATGTAACTACAAGTGATTTTAGACTTGGTACTTGTGCTCTGCATGCGTAAATATATCTGTTTCCATCGGTGACTATACGAGCTTTGATCTCCTCCATTAAATTCTGGAAGTATGCAGCATTTTTTCAGATATTGCAGGTCTCTTTTACCGTGAAAACAAAATGGTTCTACTTATATTCAGCGCGTGTAAAAAAGATATATTCCTAAGTGACAATTATTAAAGCCTTGGAGCCGTAAAACTATTTCTATTTAATTTTTCTTGTTTTCGGATCGAATAATTAAAAACTTAATGGCAGAATATCCACTATCACATACTGTTTCGTGGAAGTCGTAAGAGGCGACCAAGAGAAAAATACAAGGATATAGGCAGCAATGTCTTCCTAATAACAGGGACAGCCTCAGGTTCGACTTCACATGTAAAATACTATTCCCATCTCTGGACCGGGGCTCCCCAGTGCCAGCTCCTTCCATTTGATTGCATCCAGCGCAGAGCGGCTCGAATCCAGCAGCTCAATTGCACTTTCGCACATCGCGACAAAACCATACCATCTGGATGATTGGCGGTCCACCACTGTGCGATTTACAAAAAGTTTTCCTCCTCTCACAACTTTCTTATGGAATGGACTACCACCAACGATTTTTCCGGAGCGATACGATTTAAGGATCTTCAAGAAAAGAGATTTTTTACATTTATTTGATGATTTTAGCACCGGAGCTCTTCTCTAGAACATCGATAGTAATTGCACAAAAATGGTGCGTGAAAACATTACAGAACTTAGGACCTTCATTTAATTTTGTTTTCTACCATAATATTTCAAACATAGGGGATGTTATGCCAAATAAGTTAGTTAAATTGAAAAACCCAGTTGTGAAGACTCAAATTCATTAAGTCAAAAAAATTAATTTCAAGACATTTTTCAACATGCAATAAAGAACTGGGAAGCAAGAATCTAAAAAAATCTATTATTTATCACATCGGTAGCTTCAGCATTGTTTTCTTATTTTCTTTTTGACTTTAAGTTATGATTATAAGAGATTATTTCCTAATCTTACATACCTGCATGCCTGCAACCGTTTAATCCTATGTATATTCTTTGCTATTAAAAGCAACCGTGTATATTAATGAATTATATGTTTTTATAATCAGACAACTCGTAAAATATTATTAGTGCTCTTTAAAAAAAAACTAAACTTAGAATGATGTTTTAGATACCAACTTGCGGACTGGCGCATTCGACCTTTACCAGACGAGCTGGTGAAATATGCTCGTATGGATACGCACTACCTGTTGTACATCTGGCGAAGGATGAAGAATGAACTGTTGGAAGCAGCATCGGGTCAGCCACATCTATTGTTATCTGTCTTCGAACAGAGTCGGCAGATTTGTGGAGTGGTCAGTGTTTTTTTTTCAACGAATTACTACTGTCTTATGCATCACATGTAACACATAGTATGGAATAAACTAAATTGTAACATAGCAATGTCACACTGATTATATGGGTGATTTTATAAGTTTCTAAGATTCCATATAATATCTTATAAATAGGCAATGAAGGGAATGGTCTATGGTGCTTCTTCTATTGGGGATAACAAACTTTGTATTATTATTATTTTTGCGATTTGCTGTTATTGACTGACCTTACGTACATTTTCATACTATCGTCTCTACTTTAATGGCGTGCTTTTCTAAATTAGACTACAAGACTTGCACATGACTTGTTATTGAAATATGCTGGTTGTAATATATTGTACAATAAAACGTAAATATGGCTTTAAATGAAAATGAAAAACCACAGCAGCTGATCATGGGCCATAAGCTCCTTGACCAACGTCTTCATCAACTAGGTTGAAAGCGAAAAATTAGGGAAGTAAAGATACCGATCCAATATCGATATATCGGGATTGCCGATTATTTATTAACCTATATATATTTACATATGCAATATACAATTTGAAAGGCGTGCGAATTAACGACGCACATTGACGTTTCCGTCGCTAGCAGGATGGCTGGATATTCGCAGTTATCCTCAAATTTACAAATGCTTGCGTTTATAGTACTTATCAGTCCCTGAAAGTATTAAAGGCCTCATCCATAGAAAAAAAACCATGAAATCGTTATTGTAATTTTTGAGTGCGTGCTAATATATCCTGTAAGTTATAGCGTGCGGCATGCATTCAAATCTTTTCTTCCCACTCTTTTTGCGTCGTTGCCCCACTTCATGTGCATATTTGTGTGAAGATCATACCTATAACACCATATAATTTTCGCAGACATACAACAAAGAAGTGGTCCACGATAACAGTCATCTGGGTCTCTACGTGCGCTCCAAGAAATCGTTCAACTCACGCCAAATGGCTGCACTCAAATTACTTTATAAATGGCGCGACTCACAAGCGAGGGTTCTGGACGAAAGCACCACGTGAGTACACCCGTGTTATAAAATTGATTTAATCATAATAATAATATAACTAAACACATTGTAATTGATTCATCCTTTTATTATTTTCTCTGAGTAACTGTTACGTGGGGTTTGCGGTTCGTAAGAATCCCATTAAATATTTTTAAAATGTTTTAAAAAGATTTGAAAAAATCTTAGTTTTCATTGATTTGATCTTTGTCCTTCTCCAAATGTTTTTACATTCTTTTAAATTTTATACTTGTGACCTAATAACGATCTAGAGTGATGATGACCTGGTAAGATATGCAGGAAGCGATGGCTGCAGGTGTCTCAGGACCGTACTTTGTAGCTTTCCTTGGGCCTATGTTCAGCAGTGGATTTGTGAAGGGCTGTAATGATGATAATGATGATGAATCTAATAACGCCATTCCAATTTAAAGCAATTGAACATGTATTATTGCATATGTTGGAATTAAATTCTTCTCCTTTATCAGCCTGTAAAAGTAGAAAGCTTGTTCTGTTGTAGGTAGTACTTGCCTTAATCATTGTGCTTGGCAGATTAATTGATGATCTCAGTACAACAAATCGAGCACCTTTGACACTGATTCCAATCGCTCATCTGAATATTTTACGCCTGGCGTAAACGAGATGGCTATTTATCCATCTATCTGAAGCCATAAGGTATTTCTGACATTTCCCGCAGTTACCTCTTACATCATCCACTGAACAAAATGGTGTGATGGATTCTCAAATTAAAAAAAAAAACAGTAAAATTAAATACGTTCTACTAAGAGAAAGTGCTTAAACCAACATTGCCTTTGTCATTTGAGAGGTTTGTACGTAACCTATAGAAAAACCAATAATGTATTAATTATTGCAGTTACCTTTTACCGAACCACATGCTGCTATCGCTCGCTGAGGCACTTCCCCGCGAAGTGCAAGGTGTTAATGCGTGCTGCAGCCCTATGCCGCCATTCGTCAAGCAAAACCTCATCGCCATACACAGAATGCTGCTCTCGGTGGGTGAAGTTGTAGCATTTCGTTCGTATTCACGTATCTGTAGTCGCTGTGCGGCAAAGTATTTGATATATTGAGTTATATATCAAATATTTTTGCAAATAGCACAAACATAATACACACTTTTAATCGAAAGCTATGTAAATCTGTCAAATCCCGTATTTTATAAATGTAAACAATACCGTTACCGTTACAGCATATTAAAGTTCACTGCTAAACATTGGCCTACCCCATAGATTGCCCTATAGGGAGGATATTTGCCATAGTTGCCGCACTTGGCAAACGGATTGGCAACTGCAGTTTTTTATTTTTAGTTGTTACTAAGAAGACGCTGCTGCCCGTCTCCTAGTTTGTTTCCTTCTGTTGCCTCTTGCGACACCCATTTGTAGTAATTATAATATGTAGTGACGATGTAAGACGACACTCCTTATTATAATTTTTACATTCCACTGTGTAGTAGCGGAATGTAAAGAATATGTAAAGAATATATTGTAAGAATTTCAAACTAATGTTAAATATATTGTTTCGCCTAGACCACCATTCTAGATACTCATTCAATTCATTCATCATTCTAGATTTGAATTAAAACATTTTTAAATTATAGCAGTTTGTAAGAAATAGAAAGATAAAATTACATCGAGAGCATGTGAATTACCCCATAAATATAACCCTCTCGGAAACAGGATGCGGCCTTTATCCAAATGTGTTACTTATATTCTCTATATATTATTGTATATTTTTCTTTACTTTATTTTTTAGAATTTGTTACCTATAACGTGTCAAAAATTGACAAGCGTTTGGAAACTATTGACGTTATCCGTACCACAAAGAAAATAAAGACGAATAAGTTTTACCTCTTGTATTCACAATATTACAATTTCTTTCTCTGGTTAGAAAATATTAAAAACACGGAAAAAAATATTACTGAAGAGCCACTCGGTAGCAATGTTTTCTTAGTTCTATTAAATGACATCAGGATACGGCGAAGCTGTCCTTGTTTTTACTTGGATTTTGGAAGCGTATCTCGGTGAGCGTTGAGGTGAGAATGAGCCGGGGAAGACAGCCAATCTTTTTTTGAGTCAGTTCTGGTTTCATTCTCCTTTACAGTCGCCTGTTGAAGTTGATGCTGAAGTTCATCACCAACCAAACAACCGAATTATGGTGGTATACCAAATCATGTGTTCGATCGCATCACAGTTAAGGACATCATTGTTTGATAAATCTCATGACTGACGGAAAGTCACCTGGTCACAGTTGCCTTAGCATCGAGCACTTTCAGCACGCTAGCTCGCACTTAACTAGACCGCTGAAGCTCTTGTTCACGCTATGTATGAGACACTCTTATTTGCAAGAAGAGCTGATAAGGACGGTCGCGGTTCTGATTTTGAAAAACAAAACCGAAGACGTTTCGGATATGTGCAACTGTTGGCCAAGACAACTATGCCTAAGATACTGGACAAGTTTGCGTATACGTAAGAAAGGATTTATGTTCTTAGCTGTGCACAGATAGCGTTGACCATCCCCGCGTCTACGGGTACCTTTATAGGTCACATCCAAATGTTTACAGATTCCATCTGCGAAGATCGTGATCGTCGTACAACCGATTATATAGGGAGATCTGTTTACGACTTTGCCTCGTCATGGTCCGACACAAGTAGTTACATCGCCCACTGATTTCTGACGTATTCCCCGTTAGTTCTTCTGTTGATCTCTCATCCGGCCGGATATCTTCGATTCACTATCGTTCTCTGTCGAACATCTTCGAACCGGTGCCGCTCCCGCTCACATTGCATTTACGTTCTGCATGATGCCGTCTTGTATGGCACTACGGTCGACGCATCGGGATAAGGATGCGGTCTTTTTTGCATCCTACCCATGGAGGCGGATTTGCTACTTGCCGCATGATCCTAACGTTGTTGCAAATAATGTCCTTATGATTTATTTCAGCGAATAGAACTTTTTATTCCATCATCTGTGGTGCCTTGGTGCTGATCAGAAGCCTTAGTTGGTCCTTTAAAATTACATCACGCAAGCAGTAGTGTTATAGGGCTGAGCTGATGACTCCCCGGGATTGCACATCATTGGATATAAACACTAGCGTCCTTAAAAAAAATCCGCCTCCAGGTCTTTCAAGAGTTATTGCTGAAGCACTATTATCCCTCGCTAAGGATGTCTAATAGAACTACAGTCATCCTAAGAAAAGCTCAAAGAACTGAAAATTCAGGTTTATAAGTCTTTTTTTGGGTTCAACTCACTCGATGACAAGGCGAATTTCGACTAGCCAGCTTTATGAGTGCTCCATGCCGAATGTGCGTTTCATATAGTGTTCAATACGCAAATCACTCCTTTCTCTGGACACCACCCTGATCGGGCCAACTTATGGCTATCATCTCCTTGTTACCTAAAATAATGGATTCCATTATTCCACCTTACGAGGATTTCTGGGTACTAGCTGATTAGCTACCGTCAGCAGTTTCCGTCGGGGTCGATTAACTGGGCTCATAGATGGGCAGAGCCAATACAGTCTAAGAAGGAGGCCTTAGAGGATGGAGGAGGATTAGGTTTGGTAAAAAGTGCTTCTTCCGAAGCTCTTATGGGCGTCAGGGCTTCTGGGACCTTGGCAAGTTTTATACTAGACTCTGATTAAACAAGTGATCATAATGTCGAAAAGAGGACTTAGCTGTGATAGTCGTAATTTAAACTGAAATGACACGAATATTTTGAAAGTGAGTTATAATAGGGTGGGCGCCTTTTACCAGTGATACAAGTGCAGGATCGTGTCGGTAAAGTACTCAGAATTGGCAAACATTGGCAATCTTCTGGTGTGACAGTTGTTCATGAGCGGTAGTTCTGCAAATAGTATTATAATAATGGACAACTCCCCGTACCATTCTGTCCAAATCGACAAAGCGCCAATCCAAGCGAACAAGAAAACAGATTTAGTAGCATGGGTGCAACACAAAGGAGTGGAAGCGCATATGAAAGTATTGAAAGCAGAGCTAACACAATCAGTAAAAATAAACCACGTAAACCTTTGTTCGTTACTAATAAATAAGCAGAAGAGCACGGGCATAAAGTTATAAGACTGCGATCATATCACTCCCAATATGATGCTATTGAATTGATTCTTATGCTTTTACAGCTATTTAGCACTACACAACATCAAGCCACATTTCAAGGCGAATAAGATCGATTGTTTGCTGAAGAAACCATGTGTCCATGGAACAAATGCATTATTGACAAAATAAATAATTTAAAAAATCAAAAACCCGACTGCATAAAAGACAATTTAAGAGTAATGCTCTAAAAAGACCGAAACAATGTTGAAAATAGAAAACAAGATTAAAATAAACTATACACGAAGTAAACTCCACTTCGGTTTAACAGACGTTACATTTATTGCATTACCGTGGCCAGGAATAGCAGGGACCCCGGGGACTGAGATCGTGTTTACTATTATGGTTGCCACGCCTGGCATGCGGTTTGGCAACCGCAGTTTTGTTATTTGTCTCTTTATCGTTTTGTTATCTTGTTTACAATAGATTAGTAACAAATAATTTTGTATTTCAGTGCCGCGAGCTGCCGATGGAACCACAACTCTTCCAAATGCCGCAGAGCATTAGCAGCATGGTCAACGTCGCGCATCATCCACTGATTTCTTACAACGTGCACGACCTCACACATTACCCAGAATTCAGGTATTATAAAAACAGAACTTGCAATGCTCTTGTATTTTTACAGTACTTTGCTTTAATGTGTATAATGTATAGGATATCGATGGCTGAATGCGTAGGAGTCTGCTAGGGTTTATAAGCACTGAACTGTTTTGTTGGGGCAGTAAGACTAGTCTACATAGATTCCATTATCAGTATAATGGAATCTATTGTTCAAAACGTAGGTTAAAGTTACGTATAGGCATGTAAGTATTTATGTTTGACTTTTTCTTTGAGCTCTTGTAACGTTAAGAATTTTGAGAAATTGAAATTCTGATCTCCATATTGCCACAGACTTCATTTTAATGGTTATTATATCAATACGACGATTACAAAAACAGTATAGCCTTATTGTAAGTAGTGTAATTTTATTAGGTTTAATTAACTACTCAAAACAAAATAGGGCCCACCACGTTTTTAGGCTGTCATCAAAAAGTTTTGTTTATCTGTTTTTTATGGACATATGTGTTCAGGCTAGGAATTAAGAAATTGTTTAAATATAATTAATATTAAAAGTTATTTGTTTAAAAATACACACATAACTCACTTTTTAGGGAAATTGCAGCAAAATAACGAAAAACAAAAACTTATCACTATTTTTTTTTGTGATTATTTTTTGAGCAATGTTATGTTTAGTAGCGAGTGGAGCTACCTCTACGTCGTATGCACTCTCTGAACCTATCTAGTATACTTTCGATGAGTTAGGTAACATTTTCTTACGGTATTCGTTCCAAACAGACTTAGCGCGTTTATGAGTTCTTGTCGACTATTCACCTGACTGTAGTTCTTTTTTAGGCTTCTTTTCGGTTGATCCCATAAATATTCAATGGGATTGAGGTCGGGACTCATGGCAAGCCATGGCAAAACTGTGATACTGGCATCAGAAAGAGCTCTTTGTGTGATACGGACTATATGTGGACAAGTATTATCTTGCATTAACACAAAACCAGCACCTACTCTTTGTCAGAATGGAATGACATAAAGTCGGATTACTCGCTCAACGAACATAACTGGTAGCTGTTACAGAACCCTCATCTCATCCCACACCTTAACACTTGGACCCCCGAAACGGTCTGTTCCATTAATGCCGGTTTCTATAAATCGTTCGCCTTGTTTTCTCCACAAACTTATTCGTTTGTCATCACTGCAAAACTTGGTTTTACATTCATCTGTGAAGAGTACCGTGCTCCAGTTATCCAAATGTTCGCGAGCATACCTTAAACGAGCTACACAATGAACCCTTGTCAGTTTCAGTTGAACAGCACATACTGTGGAACGTTGGCCATCTTGGTGGAGTCGATTACGAATGGTTTGATCTGACACTGACATGTGTACCAGTAGATTGCCGCAGTCGGGTTTGTAAAGCCCGGGCGGTTATAGTACGCTCCCGATGTGCAGTTAACCTAATAAAGCGGTCTTCATGAGCAGTTGTAGCTCTACCTCTTCCTGTTCCAGATCTCCTAGCCACACTCCCGGTTTCCTGGTACGAGGACGACACTGGAAGTTTTTAGAACTGGCCACTTGTAAACGATATTATAAAAAAATAAGTTCAAATTTGGAATATGGAACTCTTTTCCAATATTAATGTTTATGTATTTTATTAATTTGTCATTTGTTAACGATATGGCGGAAAATTGAAAATTGTCTGTGTCACGTCAGCATGAATTTAACGCGAGAAAATTTTCGTACAATGATTTTTTATGACTTTCAATTTCATTTAAGTCAACAAAAAATTTATGGATAGACTTCGATTGGCCTTTCACGATGAAGCCCCATCTCGTGTCACTGTTTACAACTGGTTTAATGAGTTTAAACGTGCTCGCACTAATTTCACTGATGATCTGCGTGAGGGCGGCCTTCTACGGCGACGACTGAAGATAACATCAGTGTTGTGCGGCGTGAGATAGAGACTGACAAAAGAGTGACTTATCACCAGATTCGAACAAGTTTAGGCATCGGTGTGATTCAAGTGCACAAAATCCTCCATAAACATTTAGCGGTCAGCATACTTTGTGCCCGGTGGATACCTCATAATTTGAGAGAGGCCCAAAAATTCCGTCGTGTTGATTGGTGTCGTGAAATGGTTCAAAGATATAACGGAGATGACTCAAAAGCTGTGTTCGACATACTTACGGGTGACGAAAGCTGGATTTATTGTTACGATCCTGAAACTAAGAGACAGTCTGTGCTGTCTTGGTGTTTCCTTCCGAGGAGTTGCCAACTAAAGTGAAGAGAGGTCGAAGCGTGGGAAAAAAGATGGTAGCCTCGTTCTTCGGAAGGACAGGTCATTACGCAACAATTGTTTTAGAGGATCAAAAAACAGTTACTGCAGAGTGGTACACTAACAATTGTTTGCCACTTGTCTTGGGAGAAACGACCGCGCAGTAGGATCCTCCTTTACCACGACAACGCCTCGTCACACACCGTCAAGCAAACAATCGAGTACTTGGCGACATCAGACGTGGAATTATTGGTTCACCTGCCCTATAGCCGACCTCGCACCTTGCGATTCTTATTTATTTCTGAAAATAAAAGAAAAACTTCGAGGAAAACGTTTTATGGACGCCGAGGAAGCACTGGCTGCGTTTCAAAATTCCGTCGAAGAGACCCCTAGACCCCTAAGGACGAGTGGGCAAAGTAATTTTCTCAGTGGTTCCATCGGGCGATAAATTGATGTAAATGGACACTATTTTGAAAAGATTTTCAGTGTCACCCTCGTAGCGCTCTCACACTTTTCGGATAGATCTTCGTGATACACCGACATGTATTGCTACAGATCTCTGAGACTCTCCCTCTTGAAACAGAGCAACTGCTACAGCTGTGGTTTCCATGTCCATATGACGTCGAGAACCAGGACCATTTGGAAGCGTATATATATATATATATATATATATATATATATATATATATATATATATATATATAATATAAACAATTCGTAGCTGGCAATCTGGCAATATTTGTCAAACCAGGAGCTGAATTATTGTAGAATAAGTAAAAGTGAGATTATGTATTATCTACACTGTAACAGGTGATTTTTCACTGTTATTACACTGTAACAGGCTATTTTTCACTATTATTACATAAAGATATAAAAGCATGATCAGTATTAAATCACTCAAGAAAAGATGTTAGTAAGGTAAGAAAATGGTGAAACGATTAACTAAAGTTAAACCAACAACTAAGTAAAGTGAATATTAGCGATATCGATCTGAGATTGTTTACTTGAATTGTTGTTGTTATTGTTACTTGTCGGAATGTTAATACTTTGTATTTTTTATTATTATTTTGTAAATATGTTCGTATTTATTTTTATCTCCTTACACAGAAATATAATCGAAAATAGGTATTAAAATGGTCAATCTCATGTTTTTTTTCCAAGCACTTCACTTTTTCTGCCTACCGACTTGAATAAAACGCTCGAAACATTGATAATGACTAATAAACAAGTCAACTACACAATCAAATGCTTTATTTTGGTAACCATTACCTCTTTTTCGAGTTATTCTAAGACAAAAAATAAAAATTTATGATGACGGGCCTTATTTTGTTTTGAGTAGTTCAATTTTGAAAATTGAAAATTCGCCTGTTTAAGCAATTAAATGAATGTGTACTTCAAACTCGTATGATGCGTGCAACACTACTGGTAGAATGTTTATAAAACACTGGCCTGCTCGGCAAACATTGCTCTACCTTCCCCATAGGTGGTGACGATGATTATGGAGTTTCATTCCTAATTCTTTCCGGACTTTTTATAGTGTAAATATAAAATGTATTCATAACTCGAAAACAGTGCCACCTGTTGCGACCAGGTTTTGTCATTTTTTTTTGGAACTAAACTATTATATTGTGAATAAGTTAGTTTTTTCCAAAACGATTTAAAAGAGAATGAAAATGGGTTGAGAATGAATGAGTTACTCGTCAAATGTTTTCTCTATGCTGATGACCAAGTATTACTTGCGTCTTCGGCCGAGGAGTTGCAGGAGATGGTAACTGCTATGAGTGGAGCTTTTGTTAGAAAGGGAATGAAGATGAATGTAAGGAAGACGAAAGTGATGGTGTTTGAAAAAGATGAGGCAGTGACAGACTGCAATATTGTGATTGAAGATGAACAAATTGAACAGGTGAAAGAGTTTGTGTATCTGGGTTCAAAGTTTACAAGAGATGAAAAGTGTGAGAGTGATATCGAAAGAAGAGTGAATGCAGGAAACATGGTGAATGGAGCTTTGCACTCCTTTATGAGCAATCGGAAGGTGTCTAACAAGGCTCGTTTGGCTGTGCATGAGGGGGTGTTGGTTCCGACACTCATGTACGGAAGTGAAAGTTGGGTATGGCAGAAGAAACATGAAAGCAGAATAAATGCAGTTGAGAGGAGAGCATTAAGAAGTATGATAGGAGTTAAACTGAGTGACAGGATAAGAAATAGTGAGATAAGGAAACGTTGCGGTCTGAAAGAAGATGTAGTGACAAAAATTGAGAAAGGTATGCTGAGATGGTTTGGCCATGTCGATGGAATGAATGGAGAACGATTGACGAAAAAAGTGTATAAGGCGAGTGTGAATGAAAGTGTTGCAAGGGGTAGACCTAGGCGGACATTTCTAGACCAAATCAGGGACGTCTTGGAAAAAGGCCAGGTCAAGAGTACCCTAAACCGTAGAGCATGTATGAAGGGAATAATGAAAGTGGACGAAGAAAAACGAGTATGTAAGGATCGTAGCAAGTGGAAAGAAGTGGTCTCTGCCTACCCCTACGGGAAAGAGGCGTGATTATATGTATGTATGTATGTCCAAAATTAAGTTGACTACAGCGCCACCTTTCGGATCCAAGCAAAACTAGAAATCTCGACAAAACTAATATATTATATATAGCACCTCAACCCATTGAGTAGTATTTCAGAAGTTACGACAAGCACTAACGCAGCAACTACTTACTATACTTGGGTTCCTCAAAAAGTTTTACGAAACTAAAAAATATTTTCATAGAACTCTCAACGCAAAGTTATAAAGCATAGTTTAATACGTGCTTAGTGTTTTAACGCCATTCCGTATCTATGATGTACTGGTAATATCGATTAAATAAGATTCAAATTAGATAGATCTCGGATTAAATATATAATTGATTAATTCGGATTGAATTCTATTTATTTTTTATCTGACCGTTCCACAGACAACAAATCTTTTGAGTGTAATTAAAAAAAACGGATTTATAACATTATTTTATAGATATTTTTTGATTATTATATATATTTTTTACCACTCGGAATAGGCACAAAAAAGTACGGAATTCTTTGTGGTCGGCGAGCGGGCTATACCTAGCATGTTTTCTTCCCTAACAGCCGTTAAAGGGGCAACCACTTCTTTCTTCATTTTTCAAAGTGTGTAGACCTTACTGAAATTTGTAATACCAGCAGTACATGGTTGTTCTTAGAAGAACCTTTATCCATAAATGCCACTTAATGGATTATTTCGGTTTCAGGCAACACTTGAAATCGTAAAAAGTCATCGTGCTCCAATGTGCCTGATGCAGATATCCATTTTTCAAAACAACACGATATTTCAATTAAGCTTATAAAAATGTTGAGGAAAATTTAAAATTGTAACATTCTTAAATATTATTATTACAAGTATTTTCAAAATAAATAATAACTGGGCCAGTATCTCATAAAAAGGAAAGTTGTTTTCGCAAAACTTACTTTTAAATATAAAAATTTACTGCACAAACTGGGTGCTCATACATGCTACTTGCTTTACATCAATCAACTTTCAATTTATTGAATTATTCTTCTGACCGATTTTTCCATGACAACCTTCGAACCCTGGAATAGTACTGACTGCGCAGGAGCTATTGTAGTGCCATAATTATAGTGTGCTATATTGGAGCTCGTTCCGATGTAATGTATGCACTATAGTGTAAAAGACTCAAGGAAATTACAACACAACACAACCAAATGAAAAAAACAAACATGATTTTGCAAAAATAGTAGCAGAATCAACCCGCCAATGAGACTCCGATTTTCCGGTTACTGTTTAAATATTTTATACATTCCGTATCTTTTAAGATATAGCAAGTCATATTCCATTTGTAGTGCCCCCAATGTGATAATTAATAAAATTACATCATTTCATTGTTGCAGTGAGGATCAACCGATAAATTTAGATCAAGCGGCAGAGTGCATTGAAAATTACATCGACTTTCAACCCGACATTAACGCTTTTAAGCCGACATCTGATAGTGAGACGGGCAACATAGTAAGTATAAACGTCTATGATGGCTTTGTATTATTTGGGGATATTAGTTTTATCGTGTAATAAAAGGTATATTAAAAAGTAAAAATACGAAACTCTGATTTATTTCAGGTATCCAACTTAAATGTCGACGCCAAATTATTTATTCCACCATTTGATAGGTACAGAAAGTACCGAACACTTGCTCAGGTAATCATCTGCCGATCAACTGTTCTAGAAGTGTAGAACCAAGTTCATAAATTGATAGAACTATGTTTTATTTTTCAGATGGAGGAGCTTAAGGAGTTTAAAGACAAAGAAGCGAAAATTGCAGCCATTGGTAAAGGCAATGAGCTGATCAAGAAAGAAGTACTAATAAAACTCCAAGAAGCGAAGGCTCTTGTTGAGGCCGAAGAAAAATCTGAAACGGACAAACCCGATGCAGCGACCGAGGTCGATAATGACGAGAATGTGATTCAAAAAACTGTTCAACGCAAAAGGAAAATATCTTCCGATAAGCGAGAGCGCAAGGATTCTGTAGCGGAAGCTACGAAAGAGGACAAAACTGAAAACAAACCCAAGAACAACCAGCAAAACAAAATGAAGAACAAATCTGAAATAAAAAGTAATGTAACACGATTCAACTACAAAAATGTGAATTATAAAAAGTTCTATAACGAAAATGAGAAAGTACTCAAACAGCCGAAGATGAAGTTTAAAAAACATAAATAGGAATACATTCTTTTTAAGCGAAAATATAAAGATTATATTAATTTCTTTTATTTATTTTATTGGTTTTATTTACATTCATCATAGCATGTGCAGTAAAGTAGAGCTAGGGCAATTCACAATTCTTTATAAAAACAATAAATAACTAATTTGTCAAATTATAACCATAGCACTATACCTTACATGCACACAATAAATAAGTAAAATGTATTCAATATAATCAAAACTTTTAATTTAGTCTTTGAATGTTAGAAATTTCACTCCGATACATCTTCAGATATATCTTCTCTGATTTTTATTTTGTTTTTAACCGCTCTTCGATTTGTATATTCGGAATCGTTGCGGTCTTTAATGACACCCTTGCCTTCTGATGTTTTAGTTTTTGGCCGCGTGTGGAACCTTTTTCCTCCTTGATTTTGATCCTCTTCTCTTACTTTCAGCGCTTTCTTTCCTTTATGCACTGTGTGCGCATGTGTTTCAGTAACTGGAGTTCCTTTATTTTCATCCTCAACTGGAATTTCACGTTTTAGAGCGCTTTTGAAAGTTTGCCCTCGCGTGGGCTCATGCAGTGAAAATGTGATTCTATCATGGTGTATCTGTAATTATAATCTACTTTTAATAAATGCAAAAAAATATTCATTTTAACATGTTCCAAATTATGTAACTAAATTCTACGAGGCTATATACAAACGTATTCTCTGTTTTCTCTTTGAATAATGACACTAAACCAAATATTTTTTATAATAAATACAATCTATATCTAATCTATATCAAATTGCTCAGTTATACAGTGTTAACATAAAATATATAGATGAAACATACAGACTATTCTTATATAGTTCTTGAAAAAAGTCGATCAAGTTTAGGTGGAGGAAATAGAGGAACACGAGATGATATGTTAAAACCCACTTTTGAACGAACTTACGTATAATCATTATCGCATACTTTTTTATATAGAATAAGTGAAGTAGAATAAGTAAGTAATACGAGCACACAGTCCACCTGATGGTAAGGGGATGCTTTAGAACATAGATATCACTTGTCCATTTATACCCAATTGAGAATCGAAATGCAGATGCGTTGTCACCCTGAGGACAGATGGATTGCCTCGTTTCCAGTAAAAAAAGCCCGGTACTCTATACTCACCATACGAACAACTGCAGCACTAAGCTGCTATTTTATGCTGGTATTCTGTGAGAACGTGGTCCTACCCCGGTCGAGCCGGCCCATTCGTGCTACAACCATAATACACCTGCAACCTGGCTCTATCACGTATATATGAAATAAGTATCAATTATAATTCATCATCATCATCATTACAGCCCTTCACAAGTCCACTGCTGAACATAGGCCTCCCCCAAAGAATGCCACAAAGCACGGTCCTGAGCCACCTGCATCCATCGACTTCCTGCTTGTCTTACCAGGTCGTCACTCCATCTAGTGGGGGGACGCCCTACACTTCGCCTGCCGGTACGAGGCTGCCACTCGAGAACCTTTCTTCCCCATCGGTTGTCGGTTCTTCGAGCTATATGGCCGGCCCATTGCCACTTCAGCTTACTAATCCGTTGGGCTATATCGATCACTCTAGTTCTACTGCGGATATCCTCATTTCTGAGTTTATCACGCAGAGAAACTCCGAGCATAGCCCTCCCCATAGCTCGCTGAGCGACCTTGAGCTTCCTCATCCGGCCAGCAGTGAAGGACCACGTCTCAGTTCCGTATGTCATCACTGGCAACACGCACTGGGTGTACAGTCTCGTTTTCAAGTTTTGAGGTATACCTGATACTTTGATTGATACTTAATTTACTATAATTATAATTATAGTAAATTAAGTATCAATTAAAAAAATATATAGCTGTCTCTATTTCCCGTCATTTAGTGAACAGATAGTGACTAAGTATTTCTTAAATTGACATCGATTTCGATGAGTTTCATTGAGAGATCGTAAATGTCTCGCCAGACCTCTTACTTTTAATTTTGATTGTTATTCCATTCGCTACGATTTTTAAAATGACAAGGGAGTTCCATTTATTTAACTTGGCGTTATACATCATTGCATTTTTATGACTTACCCGATATTCTATCGTGATGTAGCATTCTTCTTCGTCTTCACAAATGAGTGAGTTGACGTCTGCGGGTTTGGCTGCGTTGGCAGGGCGTCGGCCCACGCGGTAAAAGCGCCACAAAGAGCGGATCCGCGGGCCGCAAGCTCGTACCATTTCACTGACCTATACATTTTTCTTATTAATATGTAAAGCCAGCAGTTTTCTTAAAGAAATTTAAGTCAAAGTAGATCATTAAGTCAAGCCGTATGGTAACGACGCAGAAATCTCCCGTCCCCTAAGTTACAAGTTAAAGTAATTTTTTTTAATATTGTGCAATTGGATTACGAAGTTCTATTTTTAAATAAATTTGCTTTGTAGAAACATAACACGGATGCGTTCCATTTTTAAATTTCGAGCATCTCAAAACTTATTGAGTGACCTACGTAAATATAATCTATACCGTTAGGGGCTTATTACTTACGACAAATGGCGATGTAGACATGTCATATGCAAGATGTAACGCCTGGTTTACACGCTTGTCAAGTCTCGGCAAGCATTCACAAGCACAAGCGTGTAAAGAGGGCGTTTGGCTTGGCTTGCGTGAACTTGTGGACGCTTGTCCCCGATCCGGTCTAGTGTGTTTTTGGACACAGATCAAAGGGCGCTTGCGGTAAGCGCTTGCAACGCATTCACACGTTGGTGCGCGTTTAGTAGAAATTATAATTTCGCGACGAGCGCATGTTTAGTTCTTTGTTTAAAATGAGTGGCTACTCGAACGAAGAGAGTTTATCGTTTTTGGAATTTACATCGTCTGTCTGGAACCCCAAAGACGTTAATATAAAAAATAAAAAGAAAGTTGCAAATGCTTGGAGTCGTCTTGCAGAGTTAACGGGAAACCCAGTAAAAGAATTAAAAGCCAAAAAATTCCTTGTTTTTGTATTACTTTGCTTGTATTTTAAATAAAAGTATGTTAAACCAAACGCAATAGTCGACACAAGTTCGGTGTCCGCCATGCTTGGGTGTACGTAGCACACTGACGCATTCACAAGCATGAAGACTTCCAAACGCCAAACGAGATTTGTCGACGCTTGGAGCTTGAAGACATTTGCAAAGGCTTGGCAAGCATGGAAAGGTACCATAAGTACCCAAATCTGCCGAAGGAATGAATATCAAAGGTGCGGCGTCGTATGGTAATGCTATCGCCAATCGACTTTTTAATGTAGGTTTGTTAGGCCAGGTCATATCCATCAATCGACTGCAAGGGTTGATGAACAAAAGGATTTGGCCTGCGTCTAATTTTTTCCCCCGTGCCTAGGTAAAACGAACTTAAATCAATATTTGACTTCTAACCTTGCTTTTGCAGCACAATATTGTAAATGTATAAATATTGGGGTACCCAAAGAATTACTAATAGTTAACTGCCAGTTCTTTCCCTACTGTCTGCAATTGACCTAAAAGTTGTATGCAACTTTAGTACGAGTATTTTTGTATCAATGATAAGTCTATTGTGTATCATACTCCGTAGATTTCATTGATATTGCATGCAAGTTACAAATATTTCTTTCATATTTCGAGGGTTATCTAATTATTATTTAGTTCGTTTAACTTACATGTTCGCACGTTTATTTTTAATTTACCTTCATTTGTTCTCCTCCATCACATATTCCTGCTCCATGGGGTTCTATTCCAAAGCTATTGATACAGGCACGATCTTCGGGCAACAACGAATCTATTTGGAATGCGCACTTTGGCACACCGTCTGTGCGTTCCTGTTTTATAAATAAATAAAAAAAACATTCGTCGTTAGTTAATACTAATAGACGGATTACATACTAACATTGTTGAGGATTAAGTTCGCAAAAGCCTACAAAAGCATCTGAGATTTTATTTTAAGATCCAATTAAAGAAAGGCCTGCTTAAAATGGCGTGTTATTAGTCGTCTTATACCATAGTTCATTATTATCCTTAGGCTTTTGAAACGAGAAAACAAAATGGCTGCAAATCGTTTTTTGTAAATGATTACCCTGACCCTAGAAAATAAATATTTTTACTGTGAGTAGATTTGTTTGTTTTGGGTTGCATATTTGCCTCAAATACATATTGAAAGGTATATCTTGAGGATGAAATTTAATAGCGTTTTTGTATCTCAATTTCACTCACCCATCCAACATCATCGCAATGTTTCGGTTCGTCATAGCAAATATAATAGTTGGTTGCCTTCGAGCCATCAGTTCTTTTCTCCGTAGACCAAGTGTACCAGTTTTCGCCGAACTTAAACATACTGTTTATATGACTCTGTCGATAGATCAACGGAAAAATCATTTCGTTAGGATGCAACTGTCGTGTGGCTTTTTCCGTCGTAATCTTATCTTCTTCATAATCTACTGGCTTTTCTTCTAGAGTCGTTCTTTGTCGCGAGTTTTTTAGGAATGGTAGTAATGTCTTTTTATGATCCCATGACTCCGTATGAGGGGATTCCTCTTCCTCCATTTTGGAGTCCTCTTGCTCAGAATGTAGGACCACTTTGACTTTAACGGAGATTGCGTATTGTAGCAGGCACACGAGGGTTACAACGGTAGGTCTCATTTTCGAGAGTAGCTATGGTTCAAGCCGATTAACTTCTCTCCAATTCTCTTATGAATGTTTACCACTATAAAGGATGTTGTTACAATCGCCTAATCGATAATACCTATTGTTTATAAACAGAGGGCGCATTCAAACCATTTAACAAAAGAAGTACTATATTTAACCATTTACAGTTTCGTTTTATTTCAGATAAAAAATATTTTAGTTATTTGTGTTAAATTATTTATGGAATTATGTTTAAAATTCGTTTAATATATGATGTACTTAGTAGTACATAATAAGTAAAATTACAATTGGATATATAATCAAATTTATTTATAATATGCACAATGTTAGCTCTTTTACATATAAATTGTGTTATTGGAATGAAT